CAAACATTTTACACGCATTCACCAAATCTTCTGGAGATAACAGCTGTGGAAAGAGGAAAAAAAATAACCAAAGATGTTTGTGTGTAGTGTGGAAGTACAATGTTGTGTTACAGTTATGTGTGCATTTTCGAAGAATTACCTCCATCCCTCTAGCACGATTGACGAGACAGTACACCTCTGTAAGAGCCATCATACCTCCACGTTCCTGTGAGAGTGGGGAGTGGGAGAAAGAACGTGAGAGAAAGAGGATCATGAAGAGAATAAAATAAAAGCAAGTAAGTAAATATAAAAGGTATCTCTTTTTTCCTGTTTCACCCCCCACCCCCCAAAAAATAAAAATCACACCCACCTCCAGAGGGGCCTGCAGCATATCCCCCAGTTGCTTAGCCAGTTGCAGGTGATAATGTGTACCGGATCCATGTGTTTCTCTGGTAACAGGGTTAGCGATACCCATGCTCAAGAGGTATGCCTTAAACCGTATTGTCTATTGAATAAAACACAAGAATAAATAAAAAACAAGCTGCTAAAAAAGTTATTTTAGAGTCACAATTTTCTAAAACGCTAAGGTAACCGTATCATGCAATAAAACATGTGTTGTGTTAAATTTGTGCGATTTGTGTGATTCAATAAGATGTGAGGAGGATTACAGTACAGTGACTTGAAGGTACAGATATTATCCTTCATGTTTCTGTCTCATCACATCAGGAAACTCTTTACCTCATCTTCTGTTATGTCTCCCTGCTTGTCTTTGATCTTGTTGGCTATAGATCTGGAGAGCTCCACCATCTCTTTGGCCTGTTAGGAAGAGAATCATGAAGAAAATCCCACTAAGGAAATGAGTTTTACACAGCTCTGCTATTTATGATTATATAAATTTACACATTTGTCAGTGGATAACTTAAAGCTTCCCTAATTCTGTTATAACTCAGCAACTATAGAAACATGTAAACATGAAATGAGAGCTTCCTTACCTTCACCATCAGCTTACTGAGGTCCTCAAAGGCCTGAAAAGCAGAGACTGAATGAGTAATGGCTTTCAAAATTGTTGACAATTAAATAAACCACAAAACTTCCTGGCTGCAGATATAATTTAAATGTCATTCCACAGCAAACCCCCCACCCCTGTAGCTGGATATAAAACATACTTCCTAACTTTAAACCCCATTTTTGTAAAAGCTATACTTGCCATGTATTTGTATCTGTCATTTGGATTAAATTAGTATTTTTAAATACTGATATATCATATAATGTATTCAATAGAAGTTATATAAACAACTTTCCAGTTGCCTTCCAGAGTGTCACAGTGGCTGTGGTCATCTTGCTTTGCAATAACGTCCAATGTTGACAAGTTTTTACAGAAGAAAAAACTAATAAAAAATGTAAAAAAAAAAAAAAAGTCCAAATCCAAACCATATTTATTTTAAAATATATTTACAGTTAATTTAGTCAAAATGACTTTGGTTAAATACAAGACCTCAGCTAAGGGTTTCAAGGAGATGGCGATGGATTTTATCCATAACTCTGCATCAGAGAGAGTATACCATAATTCCAGTTCTGGCCCATTTCTCACTCTTTATTTTTCCCATTACCTCAGAAATGTTTTTGTCTGTTTCTTTCCTCTTCTCCTCGATCTTCCTCTCAATGCCAACAATCCCAACTGCACGTGTCTTTCCTGCCTACATGACCACAAAGGAAAAGAAAACACACATAATCAAGTTAAACACGGGCAACTTGTCTCAAAGGACAAGGAAGGACAAAAACAAACAAAAGAAATCCAGGAGGGAACTCTTTGTGGTCAGCAGTTGTTATAGTACATACGTTAATTTTACTGACCATTATCCTGTTCAACAAAAAATGAAGTAATGTACTTTTTGGAGACACATGACCTAATGCAAGTGGAATGACTTCTTGCACTAATTTCTGTGAAACATTAAATCTAATTTGATGCATATTGATACTTAAAAAAAAACGTTGGAAAAATCTAAATGTCAGGCAGTAATTCTTACTAATTGTTAAAAACTGAAAGGTACAAGAATTAAGTGCCTACGCTGCCATCATGTGGAACATATCTTACACTGACAGTGATTCCAAGCTTCATTTTATCATATACTGAACTGTTACGGTACATGGAAGTTGCGTTTATACGCTGGTGAGTGAAAACAATGTGCCACCTACACCTACAAATCCCCATAAACATAACAGAGCACAAAGGACAGATGGTTATCAGTGAGGAAACACGGTGTGCTCTTTTGTTTCTAACCTGAGATCCAGTTCCTGTGGGAATGGGCTGTGAAACTGGTGTATTCTCCCACCTTTTCTTGGTCATCTCTTCAGTGAGCCTCCTGTAAAACTGCAAGGAAAAACAACAAAACAGAGCCATGTCAGTTCCAAGTCATCAAAAAAAAAAGCAGTACAAAAAGTGAAAATGAGGAAGTTGAATCACTACCTCAATCTGCCCATGTTCCTTAAAGGATAGCTTGATGTAAGAGTACTTGCTGTATTGGTATGGACCTGGCTCCTTGTTGGCAGGTACTGGATGCAGGTGGATCACTATTTTTGCACTTAAGAATAAGAAAAACCAGTAGTTAGGAGATACATATTTTCTTGTACTAAATTTAAGTTAGTGTATTTATATGTTCTCTGTGAAGGTTCTCCGTCATCCAGGTCATTGTAGTCTAAGGAGCTTGGAAAGAAAAGCTTCTGGTCTTCTTTAAGTTTCTTGAAGGGAGTCCCCATCAATTGCTCCTTACAGGATTTATTAGTTTACTCTCCCCATACTTTTTTATTCTGTAGCTGTTACCACATCTATTGATGTAAGAGTGATGCTTGCCTCTTTCAAAGTACAACTAGTGAGATCATCATGTTTTGATCTTTGTTTTCACTACATATTTAGTAGCAATGGAGCCTAGTTAGCTCTCCTATCTTGTCCCTTTTGTCTTACTTCTCTCTGTCCCTTTGAAGAAGTGAGGCTCCATAAATATTAAAGAGGTACATATTATTTCTAAGTTGCAGTGAATAGACAGAAAAATAAACTGTAGAAAACTAAACAGCAGAAAGAAGAAGAGAAATAACAATTTTAACATAAAGCAGTGACACACTCTGTAGCCTGATCAACCCTGGCATGGCCTCCTTGGATGAGGGTGTCTAGTGATAATAGCCGAAACGCCTGATGAATCCAAAAGTTTACTACTGACGATGTGTCCCAAATTTTAATATGATAAGATAGATCAGATCTCTAATTTCTAAACCAAACCAATGAAGAAAAAAAATGGCAGATTAGCTGGTGTAAAAGACCAAAAGTTGAGGCACACTAGATGTGTGCCGCTGGTAAAGTTTCTGGGCTGCCTTTACTAATAACGGCCATCCCTCAAGATTCTCTCCATTTAAAGCAATGCATTATCAGGGATTGTAACATCTAGTCCTTTTACTGAATCAGTAAGGGGCAACACAGATGCTATTTATAATAATTTGGCAGTTGTCTATCCTAAATAATTTAGACCTTTTGCTCTTTATCACACTATTTATGTACAAAATTGACATGATGCAAACAATAGACTATTGAATAAGTAAACATTAGGACTGATATTCACAATGATTTAAGTGCATTCCTGATAATTTTTAACTGTCTTTGTTGACCATTGCAGTGTGCTGAAAAAAAAATGTATTCAGCAGTGTTTACCTCTTTCCTATTCCTGCAGCCTGCTCCTCAAAGAAGATGATCTGTGACAGGGGCATGGCGATGCAGCATTCCTGGAGACAGCAAAGGCAAAAGGAGCCATCATATCAGCAATAGGCACCAGCTGGCACACAAGGTGGGTAGTTAGGGTGTGTTTAATGCTCCCTTACATGATTTTTGATATCCCTCCAGATTAAACGATGGGTGCTCAGCAAGGTAACTCCGAGATCCAGCTTAGCCTGTACAATGACACGAAAGACTTGACGTTACTTACTTGCGCAGCTTTCCGAGCTACAAACACTCCCCACGGTACACATGCAACCACATAAAGCAACAACTCTTCATCAGCATCTGACATATATGGTTTTTGTAACAGTAATATGGTGTAAGTTTTAGCCACCGCGTTGTTGGACCAGGCTGTTAAATCACAAAGCAAAACGATACCTTATCATCACCGTCATACAGTCTGACACCTCGCTGCTGGATCACTAAAGTTTCGTTTATTTCTAGGAGCCCATTTGACCACGAAAACCGGTCCATTTTTAAGAAAAGCAAGAACAATTCAGGTCGCACTTCACTTCTTCTCCGGTAAGACTCATCCTATGTTTTCTTCCTGTATGCTGTTCAAAATTCGCCTGCGACAAAAACCAAAATAGATATTATAATATAAGCTAAAGTCAACTGAACTCACAAATATATTGTTTATACATTAACTCTCTTCATTGGTGATGTTACCCCAGTTAACTGTAGCTTTGATATTTTTTCTCTAACACTTTTGCTACACGCTGTATTTTTTAAACTAGCTACCTCTAAGGGGTCCTTTCAGTGTTGACGTTCACAGCGCCAGCTGTCAGGAGCTAGCAGGACTGCTATCTTCCCGGGTTAATTTGAGATTTTAAAATATATATTTTGACATTTTTTCACTCCTATTTAATAGATCATCAAAAAATGTAACGATGATTGAATGAAAACACCTGCAAATATTTGTTTCCGGGTGTCTAGTCGTTTCTCTAGTTGCGCTGTCCTCCGAGTCGAGTTAGCTGTAGCCCGCTAGCTTGTTGTTAGCTGCGGGCAAATCTGGTACAGACGGGTTCTGCTCTGCAGACTGCTCCTCTTCTTTGGAAGTCATTGTTGTATTGTATGTAACGATCATGCAATTTTTAAGTAGTATGCTGCGAATATTTATTGCTTTAAATTTCGACGAATTAATAGTATAAGTGAGTAACTTTGGTCATCAAAATAAAAGTCATCTGAATGAATTTGACATCATTTGACTTAATCTGCTGTATCATAATCAGTCTGTTTATTTAAGTTCAGCTTTTTGGTAGTATTCATTGTTAAAGAGTCTAGCGTTTGTTTAAGTCAACAAACATGGATAAGAAATCATTTGACATTGTATTGGATGAGATAAGAAAGGTAAGAAGCGGCTAATGTCAAAATATCTTATTTATTTTGGAATCGCTTAAGCTTCCAGCTTGCTCTCTCGTCATCCTGTTTCTGTAGTGCGTCTTGACCGATCAGCGCATCAGAGCCATTGAGCAGGTGCATGGCTATTTCTCCAGTAAACAGGTAAATGTTTTACAAGCTTCCTCCATATTTAATAGCCCCAGCTATCCTCATGTGATAAAAGATTAGATTAATTAAGATTAGATTAATCAATCACAAAGCAAAACGATACCTCGAATCATAGATTACTCACTGTATAACCCGTGTTGCATGATCGTTTGTTTACAGTTGTTACAAGATGAATTGCATGATTATTTATTAAAAAAGAGGATGATTGCAAAGAACTCATATTTCAGGATAAAAACAAACACACACACACACACACACACACACACACACACATATATATACACATATATATATATATATACATATTATATATATATATATATTATATATACACACATAAACACTTTTTTAATGCTTCTGCTTCTGCACTAATACTGTCCTGAAAAATCCACAGGTGATGGAAATATTGAAGTATTTCTCATGGGCTGAACCACAGATCAAAGCTGTTAAAGCTCTGCAGCATGTAAGTAAACCACTGATTTATTTTTATTTATTTGTTCGATTGGGGCCCCAGTTTTATTTTCTCTATTTATATTGTGTGAGATAATCAACTACAACGTTAAAGAAATTAAGACTACCTGCCTAATATTGTGTAGGTCAACCTTCCACCAGCAAAATGGCTCTGAACCTTAGGGACATGGACACGGGACCTCTGGGGGTTTCCTGTTGTGTACAGGGACAACGGATTTGTTTGGTCCTGATGGTTTTGGCGTGGGGCCTCTGTGGATCAGGGTTGTTCCTACAAATCTTCCTGATGTTTGTTTGGGATCATGGAAGTTTGAAGGCCAGGTCAATGTCAGCAAATCTTTGTCATGCTCTTTGAGTTGTTCCTGAGCATTTGTTTTTTGGGGTTTAACGGTGCATTGTCCTACTGGGGGAGGCCCCTGTCGTTGGGGAGAGCCATTGCCATAGGGGGGTGTGCTTAGTCTACAGCAACGTGGGTGGTATGTGTCAAAGTAATATTTACATAAATAGCTGGTCACAGAATTGAACTGTAGCAATAGTCAAACTATGGTATTTTTATACACTTTCATAATTGTTTGTAATCTGTATCACAGATGTATCTGTGATTAATATAAACAAGTGCAGCAAATACTATGAACTTAGAAAATGTGTTTAAGTGAAGTTGAAACCTCTTTGTTCCTCAAATATGCTTTCTAATCTGTTGCCTTTAGAAAATGGTTGCAATCCCCACAACAGAAGTCGCAAATATCTTGAACTGCTTCACGTTCTCAAAAGACAGACTGATTGTCTTGGAACTGATAGCCTTGTGAGTACATTTTACAAATGTGTCCAGTAGGTTAAACAACTCATTTTAAACACTGTAACTCAGATGTTGCGTTTAAATCTTAGTGATTTGTACAATTGTTGACTAACTGTTATCCCTTTAAATATTACTCTTCCCATTCAGAAACATTTCAGATGCTCAGAATTATCGGCCAGTGGAGGATCTCTTTCGTATACACTTGTCTGAGAAGAAGCGTGCCCGCAGGATCCTGGAACAGGCAGGTTTAACTTTTAAAAAAATCAGGAGATGATAAACTGTTGTCTGTTGTTTAGGAAGAAGTAATTAATGTAATAAAAAACTAAGATAAACTTTTAAACTAAGAGTGCTATTGTGTTATTTTCCATTAGTTTGCATATTTTAATGTACACACACACACATACAACCTTTAAAATAATAATATTTCTCTCTTATTAGGTCTGTAAGGTTGGCTGCAAGGCTCCCATAGCAATGATCTCCTCCTGTGGAATAATACCAGGAAATCCATATCCTAAAGGCAAACCCAGCTTGGTCACTGGGTCATTTCCTGTAAGTATGAGGTTTGTTGAAGGATACCCAAGTTCTGAACTAACAGACTTTACATACAACTAACATTGCATTACATTACATTGGAAATAAAAATTGATTTTTTTGATTTAAATTGTAAACAACAAAATGGTGCTCAAAGGAGCTTGCAAAGAAAAGCGTCTGGAATTCTTTAAGTTGCTAGAATCACATGAGCCAATTAGAGGATCATCAAGGGGTCCTTTTGTCCCTCTTTGGGAGGATACTCCCACTGGGTTTAAATCTGGGACTCCCCACCATTTGACCTTAGAACTGAAGAAGCTTCTCGGATGAGAGGTGAAACGTCTTCTAGCAACTTAAAGAAGTCCAGACGCTTTTCTTTGCAAGCTCCTTTGACTACGATGACCTGGATGACTGAGAACCTTCACAGACAACAAAATGGTGCATTTCTGGATGTCCTTATCTGTTTTAAATGGGCCTAGTCATTTGAAATAATATAATTTTGTTTTATGGTAACAGGGAAACCCACCAGTAAAAAAGGAAGGCGAGAAGAAAGAAGACACCTCTAACAATATGGAGGGGAAAGGAATTGCTTCCCGAATTATAGGACCATTCAAACCTGTAAGCATGAACGTCAAACACAGACTATAATGATGGTATAAAAAAATAATTTGCTTCACTTGTTAACCATTGATCATACAAAGGATGTTTTTTCTTATTTTCCTTGATTCTTCCTCACATTCTGACTTTATGTATTCCAGTTATACAGAACTTGCTGATCACCTAAGTGTTTTATATCTTTGTGATCCTTTTTTCAAGTTCCCCTCAACATACAATCCTCATCGACCTGTTCCTTACCCAATACCACCGTGCCGACCCCACGCCACCATTGCACCAAGTAAGAAACACCACAGAAGCAACACACTCCCACCTCTGGTTTCCTTTGCATTTCCCTATACAACCTATCAGTTATTGAAAAGGTGGATACCAAGCTCCGAGACAATTCAATTAATACTGATGCCTAAAGAGGTGCACTTAACCATGTTTTCTTATTGCCATCTGGGATTGGTTTGGGTGCAGTAAGTAGTGGGGTGTGTGATTCTTTTATGTGTATGAATGTGTGGTGGACACGCTTAATATTTACAACTGCTGCTTAGGTGCATACAACAACGCAGGCCTTGTTTCTATGGGAGGGGTTATAACAGCCAACGTACCCCCACCCCCCTACAACTCCACCCACAAAGTAGCAGGTATGATCCAATGACAGCAACCATGTACGTGTGAGTGTGAGAGCAAATAGACACTCGTTGAAGCTTGCTGCCTAACACACTGGCATGCTGCTTACCTGTGCTTCTCCAGTTTAATGGCTTTATCAGGTAAAGATGTCTTTCCCACTTCTCTTGGGAACACTGAGTGACCAGAAATAAAGTCCACTGTGATTTTAATTAAAATCGTCCATTTAGATTAGTCGGAGAACATTTTATTGTCGTTTTTCCCATCCACTTCCAGTATTACAGTATTTCGGATACATTTAACTTGATAATTCTTCTTGTAATAAATGTGGAGGACTAAACTGAAAAAGTACCAAATTACCTTTCAGTGCAAGTGATGCAGTAGCACAGTACAACACTACAAAGCACCCAGCACATGTACCAGACAAATGAGAAGTAGTTTCAGTAAAAACAAATCAGTGATTTTTCTACTGTTTTTTTTTTTTTTTTCTCTTGTAGATATTTTGGTTTTCTGGTCAGTCAGTGTAGATGTATGTTTTTGATCACTTGTGGGGTTGGGATTTGGGTTGACTAGCCTGGGAATAACTTCAAACTAATGTCACTCGTTTTCTTTCTGGATTCATGCTTTGTGCTGGCATTTAACACGCATCGCTTGGGATGACTTGTTTTCCAAATGCAGCGTCTTATCACTTTTCACAATTGAAATACATCTTTTGAAGGCCTTTGGGGAGATTTGTGATCTTAAATGCAAAGATTTATTGTAGCCAGAATGTTCAGATAAAAACAATTTTAGCATGTCCCAGTGTGTTATGTAAACCTTTCCCCAAAGGTAAAAAGAAGACATATTTTGATCTTGAAAATTGTTTTAAATTTCAATTTAATGAGCTGCATGTATGAATGCTCTATATGCAAGTTTATTGGCTCTTTGCTGGGCGTTCCTGCCTACATCCTGGAGTAAAACATGTTTGTAAACAGTATTACTAAAAAAAACCATTTAAAAAATAAATAAAATGCAACATTTTTTCGATTTAAGTCCATGCATGTCAGATAATAGTAGTCATTAGTTCGCACATTTAGCTAACTATAATCTCCTTCTTTACAGGTTACAATAAACCAGGCAATCCACAGAACACCACACCTGGAATTAACAGCGGGCCCCTCCTCATTCCTCATGGGTCCACACCAGTCCCAAACCAGGCCTCTCCTGCTCCTCCCACTACCCCCATCACGCCAGTTTTCCCAGGAATGGTGCCCTCTCACAACCTCAACGCCCCCTCTCCCTCACCTGCTCCATCCCCATCTGTAATCAAAGCAGGACCACAGACTCCCACTGGTCATGCTACACCTACACCCTCATCTGTCATTAAAGCGCACACCCCATCAGGCACACCTTGTGGAACTCCTGTCCCTGGCAGTGGGGGCTTCTCCCCTTTCCACGCAATTTCCCGACCAGGCACCCCTGCTACTTCACGCAGTGCCCCAGAGTCCCTGTCTCAGACGAACTCCAGTCAGCAGAAGGTTTATTCTCAGTCCACAGAACACCAGTCAGGATCACCCTTCCCTGGCATACACCCACAAGCAGGTAACTCTTCTGGGTCAGTGATCCGAAGTTACACCCCATCTGGACCGCAGTCTCTTCCCCCTGGACGCTCCACGCCAGTAATTCCGAGCTGTTCCACCCCAGGTCCCAGTCCTAAACCTTCCCCTGCTCATTCTGCACAGGCTCAGGCAGTTGTGGCTGGAGCCTTGAACAGACACAGTGCGGGTAGTAGCAGTGGCAGTAATAGCCCTGTACCCTCTGCCTTCAAGGGTACCTCTCGCTCTGGCACACCAAGCTCTGCACAGGCTGCTCTAGCACGTCCCTACGGCCTCTCACACCCTTCAGGTTCTCCTCAAGTCTCTCTCCCTAGTCCTGTTGGTCTCACTGGCCTACAAGCGCTGTCTTCCAGCAATGCACCCTCTCATTACCCGGGCCTGTCACCTTTTCCCTCCCTTTCTTCATCTCTGCCTCCTTCAACTGTCCCCTCATCCATGCCAACAATGTCCCCAACTACCAAGATTTCTAACCACCCACCAACAACCATCTACTCTGGCTTGGCTCCAAATGCTCCTCCGAGTGCAGCCTCTCCTTTTGGTCTAGGCCTCACCTCTGCTCCCTCTATATTCCCAGGCCTTCCACCTGGGGCTAGCCCAACTGCCTTCCCTGGACTTGGTGTGGCAGGGGGGCATGGTGCTGGGAGCCCTGTTTTAACTTCATTTATTGGACTACCAGGGGCCACTCCATCTACAGTGGCATCAGTGGCACCACTGCAGGCGGCGGCGGCGGCAGCAGCAGCAGCAGTCGGCGTTCCATCATCTTCACCAGTTTTACCAGGCTTTGCGTCTGCCTTCAGCTCCAATTTCCAGCCTGGGTATGTGTCCTCTTTACTAGCCAGTATACAGAAACTGGGCTGTGTGTGCCATAATCTGCTCTATGTGTGACAATACAGCATTGACTTCCTGATATTAAACTGAGTTTGAACGCCAAACGCTTACCTGTTATAGTATTCATGTATTGTAGTAATGAAAGGGAAAAGTAGACTGCATTAAGAATTTGGACACGATGACACCATGTGACACAGATTTCCAGTAGCTTATAAAATAGCTGGAAAAAAGGGCATCGTAAATCATAACTACTTTCCACTTTGTTATTGTCTGATAACCGAACAGTTCATTTAGATAGTGCAAGGAGCACATGGAGTGCAAGCATTAGACTTTTTTTTGTGATGTCTCAAATAGTCCTTCAGCAGCATTGCTCAACTGTTTACTCCGTCATATGTAGTGTGATATGTTTTCCTTGAACAAGTAATGCAAGCAGAAGGTTTCCTTTTGTTGAACTCGAAAGGGACAAACTGTCTTGTAGGAGGAATTAAATGAGCCACCACATTATTTAGTAACAACAAGTATAATAATATGCACATACATGACAAGTGTCATATCATAAGCTGCCTTTATGTTGCTAGTATAATTCTTACATTCTTATGAAAAGTAGTCTTAGAATTGGCTGGATACTAACACCATGCACACAGACTTAAAGGAGAGTCTTCGCTGGTTGCATGGCAACGGCTCAGCTGTACAGCAGTACATGGACTTTTTGTCAGCTGTTTTTAAATGTCAGCTCGTGTACACATTAAAAAAAGGACAGATAACATGCAGGTGGTGTTATTGTTTATTATGTGCCATTTTTAAGACCATGCATGCGCATATTCCAGGTTGAGCGGTGGACTCCAGCCTCCAGGCAGTAGCGGGTTTCCTGGCTTACTGTCGTTCCAAGTGCCAGGCTTCTCTCCCTCTGCCTCCCCCGCTGCACTCAGTGGCCTCCACAACCCAGCTGTGCAGTCTGCCCTGCTGCAGGTAAATGCGCACAAAACCACACACACACAAATGTTCTGACCAAGTTTTAAAAAAACAAAAAGAACTGAATATTATGTTGTTGTAAACACTGATTTTCTTATCTTGTTCCAGCCTCATCCCCCTTCTGCTTTGGAGAACTTCACTACTCAACCTAACAGCTTCACCAACTACCCTGCAGGCCCAGGACACACGTTCCCTATCCAATCGGGGCTGCACCAACCGTTGGGCTGGCCGTGAAACCTACAATAGTTGTGAAACATTGAGTAAAAAAGTAACATTGACTCCTGCCACACCTCTTAGCAGGTGATACACTTTCTGTTTGTCCTTGAACCCCAGATGAGCACATGACAGTTAATCACTGTGTATGTTGGAACAGGAGTGAAATGGGTCAAATAGTCTGTGGGGGAAAAGGCATAATTGTAATATCATTCATAGTGAAGCGTTGTAAATATTAATTGTGAAAGTTGTTAGTTTGACAGGTAGACTGTGAGTGATTTCATTATTAGCCTGACTTGCCTGTTTTTAATCAAACTTAGAACATTTATAAATGAATAATGAATTATAGAGTATTAGAAAAGTCCACATAACATTATGTAATAAATTGACCTCAGTCCTGAGCCACAGTAGTATCTCATTTCCAATTACAGAGCAAATGAAATGCTAATGAAATAGATTGACAGGCATAAGATATAGTATTGTAACATGATTTTTTTTTTTTGATGATGTCCCCGTTATGCTAATTTCTAATCTAAAAATTTACAGCACAGTGGTCTTCTTTAACATGTGAAAATGTTAAGTTTGTCTCAGTTTTTTTTTTTCTTCTAAAAACATCAGGTTTTTAGCAGTACACTTTGGGCTGTTTTAAATTGGTAACGAGGGGGTGCTTCACCAATTCTTGTTTGTTCAGTTATGTAACACAAAAATAGGTAAATGAGAACAGTTTTATTTACAGTTAAGCTGCATTAAATTAAAGTTACTGTGAGCACAGCGTGTAGAAAAGGGGCAGACAGATCCGATTCTGTAATTTTAGCGATGGAAACAACTTCTTTTTTTTCTGCTGATGCTGGGACATTGCCACCACCTCAGTTGCTGGGAGTGCACGGAGATTCTTGATGCTTTTGTAGCTGAAGTGCAGATCATTGTAAGGACTCTGTCTACATCTCAGTTTCAAATTGAGTGTTTCCAGCACTTCTAAACTTCATTTGGAGAAGGCTTTCGTAAAGAATAAATAGGAAAAACCTCACAAAGCATAGCAGGGGCACATACTAAAGTATGCAAACTACAAATGAATGTGCTGTGTCAGGGGTTAGTTTGTAGTACATACAAAAACTTGCATTTGGCAGCTCTACACAAGTGTGTTTTTTGTTTGGGTTTTTTTTCATTCTTTTCTTTTCAGTGAACATATTTGTGACTGCAATTTTCTGTGATTCTCATGTTTACAAAGTTTATTTCTTATATGTGACACTGCTGTGACTGCTACTACAACATTTATCCAGAATAAGGGTATGCAGGCATTTTTTTTTTGACATTGTCACTTTTTTTTTATTATATTCTGTAGTTTAACAGATTGAAAGCTGTACTTTTGTCCCTCTTTGCTCCTTAGTAGTTTTCCATTCTACTGGGATTATCTCAATGACAATGACCTTTGTCTTGAGTAATAGATGTTTTGTATGCTACACAGTTTTTATTTTATTTTTTGCCCTTTTTAAAAAAATGTTTCCAGTGAACTGCTGGTTACTGTCTCTGTAGTCTATGTGATGCCATTACTGTCGACATCTCTTGAATAAAAATACTGGAGCTGGACAAAATAATGGAAACAAAGTTTATTTTAACCATAAAGCTACACGTATACATCAACTCAATTTTGAAGATTCACTTAACTACAAATCCTAAATGAGTGCATCTATTTAATATCCACTTTGGTTCCTAACCTTGATTTGAATGGTTTTACAACCTGCGTACGTTCCACTTACCCCACCATATGCAAAGCTTAGCACAAGCGTCGCTATTGCTCAACACACAAAGTCATGTGTCAATTAGTCATGGAAAAAATTTTTCCATTTGAGTTCTTTGATCAGAATATGTTTGCTAATTATATATAAAAAAACTTTTTGTGATTTTTGTTTTGTACAGTTTAGCTTTTTTGTAAAACTATTAAACACTTTTTCAGTCAGTGCAATTAGGATTATTCATCTAAACCTGTATACATGTATTTAATTTTCTAGGGAATTACAGAAGTAAAAAGGGTTATTGCTCCAATGGATCCTCAGCAGTAAAGCTGGCTGGCTGATTTTCCCCTACATAGTAAAAGTACAGCATAAGTAAATTGAATTACATTTTACATCGTACGTACACTGTACTGTTCAGGTCGTGGGCAATGTTATGGAGTGACATTTTTGTGTGTAACGTGAAGTGTACTTTGCAACATTTCACAAAATCTGTTTTCAACATCAGGCTTTAACTGGTTCCTCATTCTAGTAGTAAGGGAAACAAAGGAATGCATTTCTATTTGACAGAAGCATGGTGGGGAAATTATTAAAATGTAATTATAGCTTAATTATATTATTTCCAGCTTACATCTTACTATAAATTACATTTTAATCGTGAACACAAATTGTATCTTATTTGATTTAAATGATTTGTTTCTTTGCTATCTATCCGTCTATCTTAAAATGAAATAAAACCCGAAGATCTTTAGTGTTAAACTTAAAGCATTAAGAAATAAAAAATAATGAAAATACAAAATTATAATACGGTTTTTTTTATGTAAACATCACAGCAGAAATAAAAGTTTATAGTAATAAATATATTGATATACTGTACTGTTTCCCATGTGGTTCATACATGTCACGTGGTTTTTGATTTTCTTCTTCTTTTCTTTTTTTTGCAAGTGCTATCTAGAATTTTACAGCCTCTAAGATTATCCATTTGCCTGGAAGAATCATGACGATAGTACTCTGTTACTGTGGCGATGATTGACCCTGAATCAGAGCCACGCCTACACCTTGAGCCACATTGTATTGCAGCAGGGCTTCTTTAAAAGGCGCACTTACTCCAGTTCAGGCACACTTCAACAAACTCTCTCTAAACGCACTTCCTACTAACCACTCTCAGTTTTACCAGCATATGGAAATGGAAGACCAGATGGAAAGCCAGAAGAGGAGAGGAATGAGCAAAGAGGACTTGATATGTAAGCTGACTTTCAATATCATTATTATTATTACTTCGTGTTTTTAGGGTTCGATATCCTGTTACTGGCTGTGCTAAGTAAGCTATTACTATTACTACTACTACTTCATTCGAGAACAGAGTTATATCCTTCTCCAACAAGGCACAGTGTTATTGTTGGCCAACAATTACATGTAAAATATCATCCTTGTTCTGTGAGTCATTTTAGTATCAGTTTTATATCTGTATAGTCGGTGTGGAGATGGAAAGCAGCTAAACAGACTAGGGTTATAGTTTGACTCTATCGTCATAGTGACAGAAATCACATGCCACCAAGACAAACAGTCCCAAAGCATGTGACTTTTTTTATGTGTGTGTGCACTGGTGAAAAGGAAGCGCTGTCATGTTCGCATGTATGGAAATGTCCTTTATGTGGGCGTTGATAAGGGGTTGTTTCCATATCACTTTTTACCCCATTGTTTTTATTATCACCAGCCTGTCGGACAAGATAATGCCAAACGGATAGCTGTGCGGGCAGCATTTCTATTTTTGACGTAGGTAAAATATTACCTGGGTGCAGAGATCGGTTAGTGTACTGAGACAGCTAAGATTTCCTTAAATGTCTTAGCTAAGTTTCTACAACTCAACTAAAAGTATGCAAGTATGCTTATTATTTTTTCTCTAAAATGAAATATACAGATATTAAAAACAGGCACAATGAAAGCTGTGATTGAAATAACATGATCATCTTGTATTATTTTTAAAATATATAACTTCTAAATAATAATGGATTGGATTTATATAGCGCTTTTCAAGGCACCCAAAGCGCTTTACAATGCCACTATTCATTCACTCTCACATTCACACACTGGTGGAGGCAAGCTACAGTTGTAGCCACAGCTGCCCTGGGGCAGACTGACAGAAGCGAGGCTGCCATATCGCGCCATCGCCCCTCTGGCCAAGACCCGTAGGCAAGTAGGGTAAAGTGTCTTGCCCAGGGACACAACGACCAGGACAGAGAGCCCTGGGATCGAACCGGCGACCTTCCGGTTACAGATGCGATTCCCAACCCCCTGAGCCACGGTCGCCCAATAATAGCCATAGAACATATGAAACATCTGAGGTGGGTTTGCAAGGTGGATTGAAACGCCTGCAGACTTCAGTACAGTGGTCTCAGTCTCACAGCAACACATTCAAACCACAGGAAGCTGTTTCCTGTTGCTGATCGATGTCCTCTTGTTTGAAGGCATAAACAACACCTTTCTTTCTTCTTCTTCTTTTTTTTTTTTTTTACCACAGAAAAGATACCACAGAGCATAATAGCAAAATAAAGGTCATCTCTCAACTTTATATTAAAGTATACTTAAGATCATCCTATAGTAGCCCTGTTTAGTGATTCACATTGGAGTCATTTTGTAATGCTTTTATTGTAAACCATATAAGAGGCTCAAATGCTGTTATTAGAGGTGAAACCTATTACACATAGCACCTCTCCCAAATTAATTTTTTTTAAAGGAGATGATATTGCATGACTAAACATTTGTGTAAACTGTAGGATGGAAAACTGAGTGTGAGTGTAATTGTCTGAAGGAAAATATGAATTACAACTGTGTAAACAGGCCTTCTTATTTACCCGTGCCTGCACTCTGGTTTCCACCCACGCACTTTTGCATTGTGTGGCGGCCTACTTGGCAGATGAGGGTTAAAAGCCGTCCCTCAGGTGTCCTGTGTGGTAGATACAGAAAGCCAAAAGATCTCACCTCCAGTTCCAAAGGGATCCACAATAAATTTAAGCAGGTTAGTCATCTGGGACATTCTGTACTTATATGTCTCAGATAAGTTTTTTTTTTTGCCTTGTTACAATTCCAGGCGCTCATTTTATTTTTATTATTCCCAATGAAAACCAGCTCACGTATAAAATAAGCAGATAAATTAGCCGTGAAGCTGAGACTTACGCTTCAACATTACAACATTTCCCTAATGCTGCTTAATAATCCAACATAAAGTTAAACATCATTGTTTAATGGCCACGTCACAAAACCGCAGAGAAAGACTGTACACCATGAGTCTGGAATACACTGACCCTTCTCTGTTTTTTAATGGCTTCTTTTCACAAACAAAGCAGAAATCCCAAGATTGTATTGCGTGAGTAAATATTTCAGTGTGTGCACAGAGCATGGGAGAGTGTTTTCATGTGTATGCTAACAGTTTAGCTCTCCGTGTATCTGTGTTTGCTCTAGGATGGAAATCTGAGGAAATATACACAGATAGGTATCACAATAACAAAGAAAATATTTATTTTAATGGTTGACACGGACCTTTTGTTTATACCCAACATTTAAGATAAGCTGGAAATGTGAGGAGCAGTCCAACAATAAGACCATTATGAACTGTGGGAAAATATTAATTACAATTGTCAGCACGTAATCCACTTTTGAATAGTTTGTTGATCTTTTAGCAGCTGAAGCTTGAGAGCTTGAAGAAGATCTTTGTGTACCTCACCGAATCAGAACCAATTTTCTATGTAAGCGTGATTAAAGCTAATACTTATGACAAGGTAACTTTCCTCTCCATCCACGTATGGGTGTCAAAGTGTGCCAAACACATTTAAACACACGCCGTCTCTGTTTTTCTCTCTCTTTAGCCGAACGCACAGGGTCTTTGGGAGCGTGCGGCTGGATCATAGTTATACTCGCTGGCCTGTTCACAGTTCTGCTCTTCCCCATAACGATCTGGTTTTGTCTGAAGGTGAGCGAGATAACTAAATAAGCACAGTGGGCTGAGGAGCTGAAACCACAGTTTCCTTTGCTGCTGTGAACATGAACTCAGCTTGTGTTTTTGGTCTTGCAGATCGTTCAGGAGTATGAGCGAGCTGTCATCTTCCGACTGGGCCGCATCACAGACAGGAAGCCTAAAGGACCAGGTAGAAACGCTCAGGGTTTGCTCATTTGTTGGGTTCTTAGACAAAAGAATTATTTGTATTTACTTTATTTATTTTGTCCACAGGAATTTTCTTTGTTTTGCCATGCACTGACTCCTTTGTGAAAGTGGATCTGCGAACCATTTCATTTGACATCCCACCACAAGAGGTAGGATTGTAGACGAACAACAAAATGATGTAAAATTGCCCCCTTGCAGCATTATAAAATGACTCATCATGCTGGTATATGTATTTCTTTTATAGATCCTGACCAAAGATTCAGTTACAGTTAGCGTAGATGGCGTGGTCTACTTCCGCGTCAGTGACCCCATCGCATCTGTGGCCAATGTTAGCAATGCTGACTTTTCCACCCGTCTGCTGGCACAAACCACCCTTAGAAATGTCCTGGGAACCAAGAACCTGGCTGAAGTCTTGTCTGACCGCGAGGGCATCGCTCACAGCATGCAGGTATAAAACGTGTGTGATGTGGTTTTTAGAGGTTTTTCAGAAGCCAGAAAATCCCCTTTAGATGAATCTGAATATGAAAAACCCAGTTCCATTTTATTTTTGGCATCATATTTCTAATACCTAAAAAAAGACTCGGATGTGCGTAGTATCTGCTCTGTTTCCCAAACATACTGTGTATTTACACTGTAAGCTGTAGCTGTGATCATCTCTTCTTCTTGACTTTTCCAGTCTAACTTGGATGAAGCCACAGAC